GAAGGAGGAGGAAGAGAAGGGAGGTTGGCGAGGAAGAAGGTGCCGGCAGCCATAGCCGACCTAAGGGTTGATCGGAGTGTTGATCGGGGTTTGACAGCGTTGACCGAGCGTTGACCAAGGCATTGACCGGAGATGTTGACCACGATTTTGACCAAGCTGGAGTTGGTATAATCTCGCCAAGCCCTYAGCCTATCCCCTCGCCCTATGGATGTGCACTCACCCTATGGTATTTGCTGAGTCTGAGTCTGTCTGTTTCTCCTTTCTGCATTGAGTCTCTTCTGTCCAGGTGATAGGACTTCGTGTATGAAGGATAGGGCCTCGTTGACCAAACCCACACGGTCTGAGTAGGGCTAAAGACTGTGTCTAACGACTCGATTGTCCCGGAGGACACAAACCCTCCCAAGGACCGGTACTGACCGGCGGGCTGCTCGGTGTGGCACGGTAGGCCCAAAATCCGAGTTGTGGGCTGCACAACGGGCCGTCTAAGTCTTGAGAGAACCTGCTGACTGCGTTGTCCTGTCTGTGACGTTAAAGAATTCTTGAGGAGTTACAGGGGATCTCCTTAAATGCCTCCTGGTCAGCAACAGGTTCTGTAGTGACGACTGTAGTTTAGAGTCTAGGCTAACGACCCTAGTTGACAGAGTCTGAACCGGAGTGAAAGCCAGGTGGGTTTGACCGCAGGTGCTGGGCATCTGGGTCTGGATTGCAAGGACTGTGGTTGCGAAAGCTTCCGTCGGCCGTGGTAATCTGGTTGGATCGAAGGGTAAGATTCTAAGTCAGTCTTAAATAAAGTCAGTTAGGGGGAGAGTCTAAGTGGTGAGGAGTGGAACCGTTACTTGGTTGTGCGCCTAGCACCATGGTTGACACGCGTACCGGAACGAGCACCTCCCCTTACACAGCAGAACAGGATGCGAAGGCCGCCGCCATCTTGAAAGAGAGAAGAGAGAAGGAGGCCAAGAAGAAGGCCTTGATAGAAGAACAGGCGGCGAAGTTGAAGAAGATTGAGGAGGAGATGGCCAGAGAAAAAGAGAGGTTAAAGAGAGAAGAAGAAGAGAAGCTCAAGGCCGTTGAAGAGGAGGAAGAGGTAGAAGAACAGGCATTGGAAATGCGAAGGACAAGGGGAAGAGGAGAATCCAGTGGTACAAAGGAAGATCGTTGGAGAAGAAGATTACGGAATAGGTGGCCAACTTAACCCAGGGAGAAGAGGAAGAAGCGTTGATGTATGTACCCAGGGAAGAACAGGAGGTGGCCATGAGAGAGTGGGAAGCAGAAGAAGACCCACTCAAGCGACAGGCTATAGAAGATGAGAAGAGGATGGAGTGGAAGTTCCGGCCGACGAGAGAGAGGAAAAAGAGAGTGGAGGCGGCGAGTCAGGCGGCAAAAGAATTGGAAGACGTAAAGAACCAGAGAGACCAGATGGCGACGCAGGTGGACCTATTGGGAAAGATGGAGGTCATGGCGAGGAACATAGAGCGCCTGACACGGGCCCAAGAAGAGCAATATCAGTTTAGTAGGAGTAGGACATCGCCCTGCGCTCTATACAGCTGGGATTCAGGGACTTTGCAAGGGAGTTAGTGACAGAGGTGGGCTCAGAGGTGAAGGCCCGCCTAGAGAACACAGAGCGTTATTGCACCGGCGCCATAGAGGGCGCCAGGCTGGCTGCTCCCAAGGAGGAGGAAGCACGTCCCCGAAGGGAGCCTGTCAAGGTCAAATTCCCTGACTCCTATAGGGGGAAGAAGGAGGAGAATTTTGACAATTGGGAAGCCAATGTCAAAACCTACGTTCACCTGCAGAAGGTCTCCCCAGACGAGCATGTTCTTATAGCCGTCCATGCCCTCCGAGACGAAGCAGCAAGCTTCGCCCGTTCCCTGTGTCGTGCCGCCAATTGCAACGATGACTTAGTTGCATATTCGACATTCACCCCTCTCAACGACTTCCTTAAGTTATTGAGGGAACGGTTTGCAGACGTTACCCGTAGTATCAAAGCCTTTGATAAGCTGCAAACCATCCATTCTCGTCAGTGGAGGAGTGTCAGGTCACTCAAAGGCGTTATGGATGAGTTAGTCGTCGTTCCTGGCCATGGGGTCACTGAGACCCAATTGGTCAATCTCTTCTACCGTGCTATGCCTGAACAATTGCGCGGGCACTTATTTGAAAAGAGTCAGCAGCCTACCATGACCTACGATGCACTGGGCCGGGAAGTGGTAGCTTTCGAGGTGCGGTCCGCGTCAGTTTCCACTTTCTGGCACAAGGACCTGGATAAGGGCAAAAAGTGGAAGGGTTGTACTATCTCAGGTCGGGTCAAGACCAGGGATCATCTGATCCTTACAGTAGATGAAGGTGGTATGGACGAAGTCCCCTACGACCAGATAGAGTGGGGACTAGAAGAGGAAGTGGACAGTAGTGCTAGCCAGGGGAGGACTTATGCTGCTGTCGCGGTCGGAGGGAGG